TCTCATCCCCTGCTAGTAAAGAATGGAGTACTGCAATGGATGAAGATATAGAGTCTATGAAGAAAAATCATGTCTGGGACTTGGTTGACTTGCCGCTAGGGCGCAAGACTATTGGGAACAAATGGGTTCTCAAAATCAAGCGCAAGGCGGATGGTTCCATAGAAAGGTATAAGGCTCGCCTAGTGGCGAAAGGTTACACCCAACAAGAGAGTGTGGACTATAAGGAAACTTTTTCACCAGTTGTAAGGTTTGCCTCTATTCGCCTAATCCTGGCCATAGTAGCTCAGCTGGACTTAGAGCTATATCAGATGGACGTTAAGACTGCATTTCTCAATGGAGAATTGGATGAAGAGATCTATATGGATCAACCAGAAGGCTTTGTGGCAGTAGGTCAAGAGTGCAAAGTTTGTAAGCTTCAACGATCTATTTATGGCTTAAACCAATCATCCAGACAGTGGAATCTGAGATTTCATCAAGCCATTGTTTCTAATGGGTTTACGATGATTGATGAAGATCATTGTGTGTACGTTAAGAGGTCCAAGGACATTTTTCTGATATTGTCATTATATGTAGATGACATATTACTGGCTAGAAATGACAAAGAGATGATTGTCGCCACTAAAATACGGTTGTTCTCTACATTTGAGATGAAGGACATGGGTGATGCGAGCTATGTGCTCGATGTTAAGATCCTTAGGGATCTCTCTAGGAGACTTATTGGTTTGTCTCAAGCGACTTACATTAAGACTATTCTAGAGCGATTCCAGATGCAGAGCTGCAAACCCATTGACACTTCTGTTGCAAAAGGTGAGAGCCTAAGTCTTGATATGGGTCCTAAGACTCAAGAAGAAAATGAAAAGATGGCCCGTGCTCCCTATACAAATGCTGTTGGAAGCTTGATGTATGCTATGATGTGTACGCGTCCTGACATTTGTTATGCATTCGGATTGGTGAGTCGTTACCAATCCAACCCAGGACCAGCTCATTGGAAAGCAGTTAAGAGGATATTACGATATCTTAGAGAGACTGCAGATTACACACTTTGCTACCAGAGTTCAGATCTACATCTAGTTGGCTATTGTGATGCTGACTGGGGAGGAGACCTAGATGAGCGTAAGTCTACTTCAGGATATGCTTTCATGCTTAGCGATGGTGCTGCTTCTTGGAGCAGTAAGAAGCAATCTTGTATCGCCTTGTCGACGATGGAAGCTGAATTTGTGGCTTGTTCATCTGCCGTTCAAGAAGCCGTTTGGTTGAGGAGATTCCTTTAGCATTTGGATGTTGTCACACGCACTTCAGACCCTGTGACTATCCATTGTGACAGCATGGCCGCACTCGCTTACGCTAAGGATCCTAAATACCATGGCAGAACCAAACACATTGATATGAGGTTCAACTTTATCAGAGACATTTTGGCGCAAAAAGAAGTGATCTTGGAGCACATCCCTACGAGTCACATGGTTGCGGACCCTTTGACTAAGCCCATTGCTAAAGATGTTTATCTTACTCATGTTAGGGCTTTAGGACTGCGTAGGTGGTGATATATTTATGTGTATTCAGTTGAACTCATATTTTTGGGATATTTATGCCATTAGTATTCATATTTGTTTCTATTATACATTTATGTTTGCTACCTTCTGCAATGGTTTGTGAATTAGCATACACAAAATAATTAAATTGATGTTAGCAGGCAAGATTGGCTCACTCACACGAGCAATCGTCCTTAGCGCTAGGTAGCAAGTAAGGATGAGACTAGTGGCTTATTGTATTTAAGCCAAAATTATCCACTAGCTATGTCGCCTTGGTCGGAGCCAAGATGAGGTCTTGTTAGAGACCGACCATGGATATGAGAGTACTCACTTTTTCCATGATGTGCCTATTATGGATAGCCAGATGCGAGATCTCATTTGATGCCTAAGAGGCGAGCAAATAGAGAATTCGAGTTAGACGCTAGGAAGTGACTTGTGCGCTTAAGAGCGACTAGACTAAGATCTGTATAGTGTGTGAGTTTAACATCACTCTTTGGAAGAGTTACTCCACTATAACGTGCATTCATACTGCATGTGCTTATCGACCCGTTAGCGAGGTGAAAGAATGGATCCTTGCTTCTTCACCGTGTGAGTCCTAAAAGTCATGTTTCCCTAAATGACTTCACTTTGTGCCTTTTGTGACCTTTGACTATGTCATAAGATGAGGAGTTGATGTTCAGCTACTTTGGTATGTTGCCTGCGGTCATGTATGATTCGTCTTTAAGAGACATTACTGGGAAAACGGTCAATTTCAAATTGAATGATATGAGGGTGAAGGGAAGATCATCTAGTTCTACATCTCTGCTCTATATTCACTGTCGACAACTCACATCGCTCTTTATAGGATGCTGATTGGGTGTGAATATAATGCGGGACCTAGGAGAGTCAAACATGCTCTTTGAGGGATTAGAGATGTTTTTGGACTGATGTAGCTAGATGGGTCTAGATACATGAGACACTATTTCTGTTCTTTTTGGGTTGATGTCTCTATGCTGACTCATATTGAGTTTCTAGTATAGAGCTCCTACATGCAGGTGTTCTCAGCGGTCGCACGGTGCATTGGCTAATATGAGATTGTTCATTTTTGGGGAGATTGAGATAGAGATGTGGCAGTGTCATGCCAACTCATGTGCGAGTGGGAGATGTTAGAAATGGGCGCCTATGTAGCATGACCCTTTTAATCTTTTGAACCTTATCCAAACTGGTTTTAAATGGCATGACCCTTTGAATCTTTTGAACCTTATCCAAATGGGTTTTGAATTCAAATTCAAACCTATTTGGATAACCACTCAGGATATATATATATATATCTATCATATAATTGATAAGGATAGATGATACATTTTATATTATCTCATATAACTGATATAGATAAATGAGATAAACAGATTATATATCTGATAATATGGGATATGGGTGATTAAGAGAAAAATAACGTATGTTTGAGTTTTTCCTATATACTGACTCTCTCCCAAAAACTAACGATCAAAGTCATTTGTACTGTGATTTGTGTGGGTGATATTCACTATTGTAATATCACTCCATTGCTGGGTTGACTGATCAGATTCAGGAAGCACGTGATTTACCCACGAAATCCTTCAATTCAGACTCTGTTCTAAAGGTATAACCATAATTTTTATTCCGCTGCATTATACTTTGTTTTACCATCCATATGGGAAATGTACAGCAACCAATAAAGAATTGCAGCCTTACCATTCTAAAAACATCCACCCAAGAAGATCTCATTCTTGAAAGCATCAATGCAAACTGATTGTCTTTTATGAAAACTGTCACTTTATAGCAATTTTTTAGTTTTTATTTTTAATGAACCTGACAAATGAAACAAAGTTGTCATGCATGCACAGTACTTGGCGTACTTTTATTGTGAGGTAAAGATTTTCATTTTGTTTCTTATTAAAAAAAAGTAGTACCTGACATATATTGGAATAAAACTTTGAAAGAGTGCTTGCTCTTTTTAAGGTGTTCTGAGGGATTTATATCTACAGAAGAATATCAAGCCGGAAGGTTGATGCAAACAACACATCTGACAATTGCGCCTTGTATAGCTCGGACAACGTGGAGAATTCAACCTTGTCATTTGGAACGTCGCCTTGTGCAAGTATACCACGATTCGAGCATTAAAAAAAAAAAAAATTACGTCACTTGCGAAAGAGAGGGACAGAGACCGCATGTACCTGGGGACTAGATAGAGCGAATACCCTCATTACTATATATATATATATAGAGGGGAAGGGGGGAAGATTGATTTAGTTTTGTTCATCTCATTTTTTGGTTTTGTGAGGCTTGTTCGGTTGTGAAAATTGTATGATTTTTTTTTTTCCTCGGCATGTAAATCATAGTCACGAAAACTCCCTAAACTGCATAATTATGTGTTGTTTAAAGATAATACTCTTAGAAATGTACAGATTGGATGAATGAGAGAGGAGATGAATAAAATCTCTCATGGGTTTGAAAGTATTTGCCATTTTTATTCTCAATTACACTCATCTCGTGCTTGACACCTTCTTGTGTTTGCTTGTCATCTCATGCTTTCTTGACAAGTGTCAAGTCCTAGAGACTAGTTATAGGAAATGCGACACTGTGTACCTTCTCGACACGCAGTCACAGAGACTAGTTGCTGGCAATTCGACACCTCGTGCCTTCGCTTGCTTATCATCTCGTGCTTGATACCTACTAGTTGTTATCTCGTTCTTACATGTCAAGTCCTAGAGACGTAAGGCTTGTTTGGCATGATATAAAAAAATCACTAAAAAAATATAAAAAAAAATCATACTATTCATCTATTTTTTGGTGGGAAATCTGTCCCTCAAAAAAAAAAAAAAAAAAAAAAAAATTCAAAACAATTCTGGCTGTGCAGCCATTGCCGCAGTAGCCACAATTTCTCATAAAAGTGCAAAACGTGGCACAATGTAAGCCACACTTATATTAAAAAAAATAATTAAAAAAAAATGAAAAGAGAGAGAAAATCAACACAGCTACACTAGTCTAGGACATAGGGGTAATTTTGTTATTTTATACAATATTTTAATACATATTTTTTTGTAAAAAGATAAAATTATCCCAAATAACCATCATTTTTTTCCCTCTATTTTTAGTCTAAAAAAAATAAAAAAACACACTTATTTAGAACACTCCAAACAACCTCTTAATTGCAAGTAATGCACCACCTCGTGCCTTCTTGACCCGTATCACGTCCCAAAGACTAGTTGCAGGTAATGTGAAACCTCGTACCTTGCAGGATGACAAGTGTCATCCATACAAGAGATAAGGTAATAATAAAGCGGAAACTCCATTGCCATGAAAAATAACCAAGTCCATGAATAGGTTTCTATCTGCTTTAAGTTCACCAATTTCCACTAATGCATATTAATTGTGCATTACAATATCAGATATCATAAACAAAACAACTCGTAATAGTTAATAAAATACAGACCAAAAAAAAAAAAAAGAAGGCGCGAAGATAAGTTTGGTCATTAATTAATTCAATAAATAGTAAAATACATAAAACTTTTATTCAAGGAACAATATCTTCTCCATCTAACAAATCATAGGAATTCTTCAAAGCATTAAACAAGCACCATAGAAAAAGCCACACACACTAAAGTAAAAATAAATAAACAAAACTGACCTCCACATCAAAAAATAATGTCCTCATCTTTCTGCATACCACCAGACAAGAAGTTATGCGCTGAATTAACCGAAATCCCCCTCTGCAAAGAAACTTTCCCCGCCAACTGGTCCTCTGAAAACTGCTTAGCAGAAGCGAGCTGTCTCTCAATCTCTCTCTTCTTGTAACCTTGTATCTTCTTCAGCCTGAAGAAATCCTCTCTTTCGAGCTCATCAAGTTCACCCTTAATGTAAGTTATCGTGTTCTCTAGCCTCGGTTTCACAACATTTTCCAAAGCATTGACCCTACGATTTGTGGTCTTGATCGCCACATCAAGTGTCAAGAACGATGTCTGAAGAGACGCAAGCTCGACAAGAACCTCAATGGATTTCACATACGCAGCGCGACAAGCTTGCACTTGTTGGCCACCTCTTGCCAATCCAGTTAGGTCATTCTTTGTCTCGGCTTCAGTGAAATACTCAAACTTTGGGAGCTTCACACCCGCAATATTCTCTTGGCGAGATCGAACTTTGATGGATGCATTTTGGACATTCTCAAGGACAATGTGCTTGATGTTCTCGCCAGCAACATATTTGGCTTCTGTTAGGGCAAACGAGGATGTTTTCATGACCTCTCCCATTGATTCTTTTGTTGAGACTATCTTCTTGAGAATCTGACGGAACTGCACAGTCAAAGCATCACTCTTCTTTTTGAGAAGAGCATGGCCTCTTGTGGCGCCGACAAGGCGAGCTTTCACAACTCCCAGCATTGTGACTGTTGGGACAACATTCAATCGCTGGCTTTGGCCGGACATCTTGTCAAAGATCGAAAAGCTGAAAAGATATAAGTAATGCATCAAGATCTATAGACAAAAAGATTATTTACAATATCAACAAAATTTTCATTACAAAGGAGAATTATACACAATCATCTCTTTATTATAGTTTTGCATGTGACAAGACTCACACCCTTGACCTCTTAATCAGGTGCAACGATTCTGGTGAATTGGGCTAGCCCCAGTTGGTTATCAACCACCACAACAAGAAGAAAACCAATTCTCTGAATCATTTATCTTCTCCAATATTCTAAAAGGATAGTAACAACAATTGCACAAGATTGGGGAAAATTCTGCAGACAATCAAAACTCTGGGATCTTCAGCAAGATTTCACAATCTATATACTTTAATCTAACCAAAAAATGATGGGTGTTCTAGGAGAGTGATTCTCGTAATACAGTTAAAAGTGATTCCTAACCTGTGTTTACCACTTTTCATTCTTCTTCTTCTTTTTTTTTTTTTTGGCAAGGATGCTTAACCAATTTTGTAGTAGTGCAAAAATTTACCCTTTTCTACAAATCTAAAGGAATGGAAAAAAAAATCTAGAAGGAGAATCCAAAAGCCATATCAAATTGCAATCTTCCCTCTTCAGCTGGCTCAACAAGTCTCTTTTTTATCATTTTGTCAATAATTCCCCTTGTGTAGCCTGGGCAGCAATAACATTAATATTAAATTTTCCATAACCTCTAAGTTTCTTCTTGGTTACTTCAATTACTCTTTCCAGACATTCCGATACAGTAAAAAGCATCCCAATTTTGTTTGAGAATGAATTATCCTTTCATATTCAATGGTCTAAAGCAATATAACACATTCTAATCTAAAAAAAGAAAGTAGTGTATAATTTTCCAACAACAAAACTAACTAGCCAGAGTGTATTATAGTAACATTTTGCCAACTAGCATTAACAACAAAACCAATCAAGATAACTAAATGGATTCTAAAGTATCTCTAGCAACCACGTCAGAGCCACTAAAATGGGCTTCAAAGCAACATGTGTATTTTTTCCATAAGAACCAATCTAGCACGATGACAACTTGTCGTAGTTCTGCAATTTTGCAATGCAAAAGGTGGGCCAAAAAGAAACAGGTCTCATCAATGTCACTTTTTTTTTCCCCATCAATTTCACTGGTTTTCTCAGGGAACCATGTTGACTTTTTCGTTCAAGATAATCCTCAGGCCCACATTGAACTACAAAAAGGGAATGAATACTTTACACGTCTACATAATTTTAGCACTTTGCTTCAAGGCTCACCTCTAGACAATGTAACCCCTAACACACTTAAATAGATCCAATTTTGATTTGATAGTTTAGATATGGATTTCAAGATTGAATTTGCGAGCTTTGTCATAATAGATTTGAAGTAACAATGTAAAACAAGTTATTTGAAATCCTTCACACTAAGGGTTGTAGTTCTACAACAATCCAAATATAAAAAAAATTCTCTTTTTATCTCTAATTTATCTTCCTCTTAGTTTTCAACCGGCTTATTAAAATAGCTTGATCTCCTATAATTTAATAAAATTTTAACCTCAAATCTCTTAATTTGAAATCTATCTCCCAAACATAAACTAGAAAATTGCAAGGCTTATGCCTCATCCACATCCACTATTTTCCTTGTTTAACTTTGCTAATTTGCTCAATTGATCTCTAAATACCTTTTATTTTTATTTTTTTTTCTTTGTAGTTGCAAACTAATCATCAACACATAATGTTTATTGTTTTCTTATTGAAACAAAACTAATCAAAACGCATATAACCCAGTGATCTAAATTGTATTGAAAAACATAGCCCAAATATCGAGAGATCTCTTTCTCTCGATTTCTTTTCTTCTCTCAACATTCCTTTCAATCCAAACGAACTTTTTGTACCGATCTTTCTTCTAAACACAACTCAATGAGATCTAACTTGAACTGAAAACCCTAGAAAAGCAACACTCTTGAGGTTACATAACACAAAATTGACGATTGAAGAAAAATAAAGAGCATGGCGAATCGAAGACAAGTTTTAGATTGAGAAGGATTCAAACCTAGTCGGTGCTTGCCAGAACGGGGGTGTTGCTACTGCCGACAAAGGAGGAGCTTCGGAAGATAAAAAGAAGGGAGATCATAGTTCATACGACACCATCAATAATGGTTTTGTACTAATAATGATCTCAAGTGCTGGTGGACATGGTAACAACATGGACTCGCACCATAAATGGCCCCATCATGCCGAAAATAAAAATAAAGGATTAATTAGATCAAACCCATCAATTATTACTGAATACTATTTTATCCCTGTCATTCATAAACTTGTGCATATTGACTCTTTCAACTTTAAAATTTGAGTGAAAAATGCTAACAGTCTTAACAATTTGGGACTTGTGTCACTTTAGTCCCTACCTTTTCAATTGTGCTACATTTGACCATGAATTTTGAATCTCGTTCTAAATAAAGACAATTAAAGACATGGTTGTTCAATTTAAAGGGCAAAACCGTCAATTTGATAAAATATAAATTGGTTTGACCAAAATAAATGTCAATTTTTTTTTTTTATAATTTTTAAAAATCATTTCTACCCACCAAAAATGAGTCTTGTATGTGACAAAGGGGAAACGAAGATCTTCGAGAACAAATATTGGACTGGGAAAAAAAAAAGGGAAAAAGTAAAGTCTAAGCGCATATGGCACGAAAAGGAAATCCGATTTCAGTAAGACTTTATCTGACTCGTAGTTCAGATTCAAGTCAGTTTAGTGATCTTTTGCCTGAGAATTATGCTAGTGATCCTATCTTTTCCAAAGTGTTGAATGATTTGGAAAATGCAAAAGGAAGAGACTACACACTGATAAATGGCTATCTTCATAAAGGGAATCAACTATGTCTACCTGAAGGTTCACCAAGGCAGTTAGTTATGCAAGAGTTGCATAGTGGCAGACTTGGTGGACATTTTGGGCAAGACAAAACTGAAGCTCTTGTTCAAAAAAGGGTATTTTTGGTCAAGCATAAAGCGTGATGTTGCTCGCTTTGTTCAAAGGTGTTTGGTTTGTCAGAAGGCCAAGGGAGGTGTCCAAAATATTGGTTTGTATCAGCCCCTACCCATTCCAAATGTATCTTGGAAAGACCTATCTATGGATTTTGTTCTTGGTTTGCCAAGAACACAATAGGGGTTTGATTGTATCTTCGTGGTGGTTGACCGATTCTCGAAGATGGCTCATTTCCTATCTTGCAAGAATTCCACTAATGCCTCTCAAGTTGCTTTATTGTTTTTCAAAGAAATTGTCCGTTTGCATGGTGTTCCAAAGACAATCACATCTGATCGAGATGTCAAGTTTGTTAGCCATTTTTGGAGGACCTTGTGGAAGCTTTTGGGAACTCAATTACAATTCTCTAGTGCTTACCATCCTCAAACAAATGGTCAAACAGAAGTTGTGAACAGGTCTCTTGGCAACTTGCTACGAAGTTTAGTAGGGGAACATTATTTCACAAGCTAAGTTTAAAGGGGAAACGAAGACCTTCGAGAACAAATATTGGACTGGGAAGAAAAAAAGGGAAAAAGTGAAGTCTAAGCGCATATGGCACGAAAAGGAAATCCGATTTCGGTAAGACTTTATCTGAATCGTAGTTCAGATTCAAGTCAGTTCAGTGATCCTATCTTTTACAAAGTGTTGAATGATTTGGCAAATGCAAAAGGAAGAGACTACATACTGATGAATGGCTATCTTCATAAAGGAAATCAACTATGTCTACCTGAAGGTTCACCAAGGCAATTAGTTATGCAGGAGTTGCATAGTGGCAGACTTGGTGGACATTTTGGGCAAGACAAAACTGAAGCTCTTGTTCGAAAAAGGGTATTTTTGGTCAAGCATAAAGCATGATGTTGCTTGCTTTGTTCAAAGGTGCTTGGTTTGTCAGAAGGCCAAGGGAGGTGTCCAAAATATTGGTTTGTATCAGCCCCTACCCATTCCAAATGTATCTTGGAAAGACCTATCTATGGATTTTGTTCTTGGTTTGCCAAGAACACAACAGGGGCTTGATTGTATCTTTGTGGTGGTTGACCGATTCTCGAAGATGGCTTATTTCCTATCTTGCAAGAATTCCACTAATGCCTCTCAAGTTGCTTTATTGTTTTTCAAAGAAATTGTCCGTTTGCATGGTGTTCCAAAGACAATCACATCTGATCGAGATGTCAAGTTTGTTAGCCATTTTTGGAGGACCTTGTGGAAGCTTTTGGGAACTCAATTACAATTCTCTAGTGCTTACCATCGTCAAACAGATGGTCAAACAGAAGTTGTGAACAGGTCTCTTGGCAACTTGCTACGAAGTTTAGTAGGGGAACATCCTAAGCAGTGGGATCGAGTTATTTCACAAGCTAAGTTTGCCTGCAAGAACTCCTTTAATCATTTTACAAAGAGCACTCCATTTGAAATTGTTATGGCAGAAATCCTAATCATGTGTTGGATCTCCTACCTCTACCAAATCAAGCGAGAGTTAGTATGGAAGCTAAACAATTTGCTGCTCATATAAAGATGGTGCATGATCAAGTTCGAGAGCAACTGAAGCAATATTCTCAAAACTACAAATCAAATGCATCCAAAGCAATATCCTACCTCCACCAAATCAATGTGTTGAGAATGAATTATCCTTTGATATTCAATGGTCTAATCTAAAAAAAAAAGTAGTGTATAATTTTCCAACAACAAAACCAACTAGCGAGAGTGTATTACAGTAACATTTTGCTAACTAGCATTAACAACAAAACCAATCAAGATAACTATATGGATTTTAAAATTTCTCTAGCAACCACACCAGAGCCACTAAAATGGGCTTCAAAACAACATGTGTATATTTTCCATAAGAACCAATCTAACACAATGACCCCTTGTCGTAGTTCTACAAAAGGTGGGCAAAAAAGAAACAGGTCTCATCAATGTCACTTTTTTTTCCATCAATTTCCCTGGTTTTCTTAGAGAACCACCATGGTGACCCTTTCGTTCAAGATAATTGATGCAAGAGCATAA